ACTTGTGCACAGCTGTGCAACAGTGAACCAGCTCTTAAAATACATGGGGCCAGACCACAGGCCTGTCCAGAATTTGCAAGGCCATTACTGTCAGTTTTGGCTCCAAAGGAAGATTCCCCCCCACCCCCCAAAAAAAATAAAACCAAATCAATTTACTCTCTCCACAGTGTGGACAACCTGCGTTTGAATTGTGAATTTTGAGAATTTGTATAGCCATTTTGACAGAGTGGGTGCTGGAGACTATCTCCCTCTGCAGGCTGAAGTGTCAGAACTGCACAACCATTCGGTGACACCAATACGGAAGTCTCTGATTAAGCATATGTGATATCCTAGAACTTCAGGTGCAGCTGTCCATACGTCAGATTGCTCCTTAAAGTGACAAAATCCTAGAAAAACTCAACACCCTCTTCTACTTCATTAACTTATTAAGTCAACTAAATAATGCTGGGGATCTCAAAACACAAGAAAGATTATCTCCTGAACTCCATTGCTAGGGAGCTGCTAGAAATTAACCCTTGTTTCAAACTATTGTGGAATGATATCATTTGCTCACAGCACTCAGGAAATAATTCCACTTTGACTAAATTTCAGTATGATTTGAAGCTCTGAAATAAGGTGCACATCTAATCTTGTCAAATCCATCCAAAAATCTGACCAAACTAGTTTAAGGACCAAGGCAGTCAAGAACTGTGAGTCTCTAAGGCTGATGCGGTGCAAACTAGATTTTTTTTCACGACGTTAAGAGCATATAGTTAGAAAAACTAAGTTGTCCTGAAGACCACTGAAGGTCTCTAATACCTTGGTCTTCGAAGGTCAGGTTAATGCACTGTTGAAATAGTTGTGGCAGTTTGAGACATTACACTTCCTCAGCTGCCATCTCCCTAAGCCTTCTATCAACAATCTGTATCCCAGTAGCATGAAGTGTAATTATCTGAGCATACTCATATGCTTCAGAAGACCGGCTTAGTTGGAGATGAAAGCAGTTTGAGGAGTTTTTCAACGAAGGGGTTGGTTCCATGGTCTAAATCTGCCCTGCTGTGGTTCCTGTCTTCTTCCTTCCACCGTGACCATTCATTCATTCATTGCACCTCCCTTTTGCCAATCCTAGCACTCAGATGCAACAGTAAACCAATCCAGAAGCTAAGAAAGCGTTCATACTTTTTTGACAGGGAAGCAAGGGTCTCAGCTCCTAAGGACAAGAAAACAGTGACCTACAGCTCTGGTTCAGCCTACCCAGCTATTTCAGGAATGCTGTGTCCTGCCCAAATGCATGCTATCATTTTTGGCAGGGTTCACAGGTGATACAAGGTGAGATTCATTCAGCACAAAAGTTGCCAACTGCAGGTACACTTCATTTAAGAACTGCCTTGAGTTAGGAATCTTCTATGCTGGCCTGTTATAACCACACTACATCTATTTTGCTTAAGAGCCTCTTATTGCAGCCAAGAAAAATCTGACCATAGTGCATAAGCAGTTATTTTGTCTAGCCTGGCATGCATGTCTATGTATACATGCATATGTGCACCTGGAAAGAAAATACATTAGAAAGGTGTGCTGGTTTTGGCTGGGGTAGAGTTAATGTTCTTCACAGTAGCTGGTATGGGGCTGTGTTTTGGATTTGTGCTGGAAACAGCACTGATAACACAGGGATGTTTTCGTTACTGCTGAGCAGGGCTTACGCAGGGTCAAGGCCTTTTCTGCTTCTCACCCCACCCCACCCACGAGGAGGCTGGGGGTGCACAAGGAGTTGGGAGGGGACACAGCCGGGCCAGCTGACGCCA